TCTCACATGCTACAGAAACCATATTGGGGTTATCCTAAGTCGCAAAAAATGGTCTGAAGTTCAACATCAAAAAAACTAAGATCATGGCTACTGGTCCCATCACCTTCTGGCAAATAGAAGGGGAAGATATGGAGGCAGTGGCAGATTTTACTTTCTTGGGCTCCACGATCACTGCAGATGGAGACAGCAGCCACGAAATTAAAAGACACCTGCTTCTTGGGAGGAAAGCAATGACAAACCTAGACAGCATCTTAAAAAGCAGAGACATCCCCTTGCCAACAAAAATCCGAATAGTCAAAGCTATGGTTTTTCCTGTAGTGATGTATGGAAGTGAGAGCTGGACCATAACGGCTGACCCCCGAAGAATTGATGCTTTTGAATTGCGGTGCTGGAGGAGGCTCTTGAGAGCCCCCTGGCCTGCAAGGAGAATAAAGGAAATCAACCCTGCGTGCTCACTGGAAGGACAGATCCTGAAGCTGAGGCTCCAATACTTTGGCCATTTCATGAGAAGAGAAGACTCCCTGGGAAAGACCCTGATGTTGTGATAGTGTGAAGGCAGGAGGAGAAGGGGACGAAAGAGGACGAGATGGCTGGACAGTGTCACTGGAGCTACCAATTTGAATCTGACCCAACTCCGGGAGCCAGTGGAAGATAGGAGGGCCTGGCGTGCTCTGGTCCATGGGGCCAGGAAGAGTCAGACACGACTAAACGATGACGAAGAAGTCGGGAATGACTTGACAACACATAGGACACAAGCTTAATACATTCCACAATGTGCCTTAGGTCCTTACATGCTGCTGTATTAAATAATTGAAAAACAACATTTGTGCCACTAAAATCCATTGTCAAGTTGAGCAACAATACATTATGTTCCTGCAACAGAGCATCTCACCTTTTGTAGTGTCACAGGAATGACTGACTTGAAAAGGCAAACATTTACAGGGTTGTATTTCAGTATGGGAACTGGATATGTACAAATACAAGAAGAGACGGGAGGAACTGTAATGGGCACATGTTGCTGTTATGTTTTTGTGAATTGCAATGGGCACAGAAGTAAAATGTTTCTCAGAACAGGAACTAAATGGCAAGAACAGTTTGTAAGAATGACCATTGCTTGTTTACATTTAAAACGGAAATGTGCTACCCCCTCACCTAAGTTCACAGAACTAACATTGATCAGTTTCTTATTGTATATGTACTTTTGTATTTACACATCGTTCTTGAAATTTAGCATACTACTAAAGTCTCAGAAGCATTTTACCTGAAGGGTCCCTCAAAAGTTACATTTAGTGCCTTCTTTACAATATGTATAAACTCTTTTTCTATTTGAAACCCCCAATCATGTAATAAGATGCTGTATTATAGATACAAACAAAAATCCAGTGTAAACGATAAAAACAGCAGCAACATTAATAATTGAAAAAGAACGTGGCAAAGATATGCCATAAGGTGACATTGAAACCTGGACACAGGTTTCAAAAAGATACATGCCACTACTACAAAACAAAAACGCACCCCAACCTTAGTCCTCATTCCCACTAGGATTGTTTGTTTGTTCATTTTTAGCTCACCTTTCTCCTAAAAAAAAAAGGTTGTAAGGCGGCTCACAACATTAAAAATATAGAATTAAAAACTAAGAACAGTACATTATTCAAATATTAAAGAAGAATTAATAACATGAAAGATATTAGGTAAAAACTGTGCAAAAACAAACTAACATTGATCAGTTTCTTATTGTATATGTACTTTTGTATTTACACATCGTTCTTGAAATTTAGCATACTACTAAAGTCTCAGAAGCATTTTACCTGAAGGGTCCCTCAAAAGTTACATTTAGTGCCTTCTTTACAATATGTATAAACTCTTTTTCTATTTGAAACCCCCAATCATGTAATAAGATGCTGTATTATAGATACAAACAAAAATCCAGTGTAAACGATAAAAACAGCAGCAACATTAATAATTGAAAAAGAACGTGGCAAAGATATGCCATAAGGTGACATTGAAACCTGGACACAGGTTTCAAAAAGATACATGCCACTACTACAAAACAAAAACGCACCCCAACCTTAGTCCTCATTCCCACTAGGATTGTTTGTTTGTTCATTTTTACCTCACCTTTCTCACAAAAAAAAAAGGTTGTAAGGCGGCTCACAACATTAAAAATATAGAATTAAAAACTAAGAACAGTACATTATTCAAATATTAAAGAAGAATTAATAACATGAAAGATATTAGGTAAAAACAGTGCAAAAACAGATTTAGAAGCCTCAAAGTAAAAGCATCCTGTTTATTGTCACCTAGACCAGGGGTCTCCAAACTACAACCCGTGGACCATGTCTGACTCGCCTTCCCTTTCTATCCAGCCCAGCGTGCATGTGTGCCAGCGAGTGTGGGAGTGAGGGCAGGTAGGTGTGAGGGCTTGCATACATGCATGCACACATGCGTCTTCCTTCGGCCCTCGAACATCTGGAACACATATGTTGTGGTCATCGCTCTGAAAAATTTGGAGACCCCTGACTTAGACTGTCATTAAAGAAAAGCCTGCCTGATGAGAAAGTTCTTATATCAGAATCCACAGCCTGGTGCAAAGGTATACACTCAGAAGTAACAAATGTTGAACTGAAGAATTTATTTGGAGTACCATAACTGAATGCAAATAATCATTCCAAACCAAATTCTACTTGTGATCTTTTTTTGGATCAGCTATATAATTTGAGCCGGGATCTGAATCTTTTTATTGCAACCATTGTTAACCAATTGAAAATCAGAAATTTTTGCTGTAATCCACTCTGAATCACCCAAAGATCTAACAGAAGATCCAGATCCACTCTTTGCCTTCCCCAGCATAGGCTGCAGAGATCTTCTTACCTATGCTTGAAACAAAAACTTCTTCCTTCCCTTTGGAGTTAGTGGAATATCCAACGTAGAGAATGACCTCAACGACTTCATCTCCACAGATGTAGTGAAAGAAAGTAGCATTGTTATAGCATTCACCCAAAAGTGCTCACGACATTTGCTAACTTCTAAGCAAAGTGAATATATCTCTCAAGGGGAATTTAGAGAAAACTCTGATAAATAGGATTTAAACCTATAGATGAATTTTATCATAGCAGACGTAACTTACTGTTGAAATCTATAACCTAACTTTCAAAGTGAATCCTACTTTTAATCTTTAATCTCCATCTATAATTGCATCTCTGAATTACTGCAAACTGACTGCAAACTGTTGACAGAAAGCTGGGTTAGATTTTAACAGTAAACATCTGTGTTGCATTCTAAAAGATAGTCTTCCAATAGTTACTAACAGAGAATGCTTCTGACCCTTTAGTTTAAGGTGTAAAAAAAAGATGAGCAACCTATCATATTAATGTTTCAGCAAAAGTAAGCTTCTTGAGTTTAACAAGGCTTATATTCATAGAAGTTAATCTACATTTCAAAATATTCACGTTTACTCAGAATTCACGTATATTAATGTTCATACAATCACTTTGGCTGGGCAGGCCAATCCTGTGCATGCTTACAGAGCAGCAAGTTTGCATTCAGCAGGACATACATACATCATTCAAGACACCTTTTTGGAATTATTATCCTTTGCAGGGAGAAGGAAGCAATGAATTAAGCACCATTTTGTTTGAGGAAAAAACCACACATACATTATTCAGCTCGATGCATACAATTTACTGGAGAAATTTGGCCACTAAGAAATTTTGGAACTAAGTGGCCAAAGTCTTATTGGGGGAAATCACATGCAGTCGCACAAGGGAGCTTCTCCTCTGGCTTGCTGCCTGTCACATGGCTTGGGTGCACAACAAAGCCTGGGATGGTTTACAAGATCCATGGGTGGCTGCCAGCACAACAGAGTGAAAAATTGTTTGTGGAATTTGTTTTACGTGAGCATGAAAGGCAGTAAGATTCTGGCCAGTGGGACCAACATCTGAGGAAGACCTTTAGAAATGGATTGCATGGCCTGATGCAATTCTACCTGGCAAGCAAATTCAAAACAGCAATTAAAAGTCACAGTCCTATGCTCAAAATTCTTCTCGTCCTTTCTCTCTTGCGGGTGTCTGGATGTCATCATGGCTACCTTGAATCTGGATGCACAGTTGCAAGTTGCCATGTTGTTGCTGCATCCAAACCAGTCTTCAATACTCCTGAACTTCTAAGTTCCTTCTCCTGCACTTTCCCCTTCTATTTTTACGTTGAACCATCGGTTCTAACAATCTGTACTTCATGACACCGAAGTAGTCTACATTTCTCCTTTGTATGTGCTTGATGATTTCTTGATCTTTATTCATTTGTTCTAGTACTTCTTCGTCGGTCACCCTCCGGTTCCAAGAAATGCTCAGCACCCTGCCCGACCGCCCGGGTGGAAACCCCACACTGAAAGATGCACAGGATCCGGCAGCACCGTGCTCCATGTAGTCGCCCCCCCCATCCGCTCCCCAGATGTGCTTCTGCTCCTCGCCCTCTTTCTCCTGCTCGAGGCGCTCCTTTTCTCCCCTCTCTCCGCGCCTGAAACAACAAAGGAAGATGCCGGCAGAGACACAAAAGC